TCAAACTTCTTCCTCGGTATATAACGCGGTGCCGGTAAATATATTTGCCACATCGCTTGTTTCTTTAACCAATCCTTGGCCACATCTTTAGATACCTTAGCCGCGGTGGCTAATTTTTTTATTGCTCCTACACCTTTCCAATATCCTCGTGGGCTATAGTAAATTTTATCCATTATTAATTAATATTGATGTTTCGTTTAATACAGCTCATGACTATCATTGAATCGCATAATCATTTTGGCATAAAAAATGCCATCTGTAGTAGCAGTATAGGTATATGAATCCGGCTCCAGTGGAACCATCATTACCTATACTACTACGTTCCTGGGTCATACCCAAACTAATGTAACAACATTCCTGGGTCGTACCCAAACTAATGTTACAACATTCCTGGGTCGTACCCAAACTAATGTAACAACATTCCTGGGTCGTACCCAAACTAATGTAATGACGTTCCTGGTTCTTACCCAAACTAATGTAACAACATTCCTGGGTCGTACCCAAACTAATGTAATGACGTTCCTGGGTCTTACCCAAACTCCACGAGAGTAACAACACAAGATGTATGGCTGTCTGAACTTCCTTTACTCAAGTGCCTAGAGGTGAGGCGTGTGCACAATGACGTCATGGGTCTGACATCATCAGCTTGCATCATGTGACATAACAAGTCAATCTATAAATAGGCCATTTATGATAGTATGTAAACACAACACCATTAGGGCCACCATTTGGGCCAAGCAGAGTGAGAGTACCCCAAGACCATAGAGTGTCTGCACTTCCCCCATACAGACATGGATAACAACGCTGCCATCCATGTCTGGCTAATTAGTACTTGTCATGGTCAAACAACAGATTGATGACATAGCATCATATAATATGGGATGTAGTCAAGTTAAGTTACTAAACCTCACAATGCAATCCCTTATCCCTTAACATATCATGTTGACATGTTCAACAAAGCAAACCTTGGATATTTTAGGCCAAGAAGAGCTACAAGAAGGATCCAGTTTCTGTAGCAACAGCCGTATGTTATATCAAGGGGACACCTTGTCAAATGTTCAACACCAAGAAAGGGTGATTGTCACAGCCGACCTCATTATATATCAATGTAGGGCTAAGGTTCTGGGGGGGAGCACAACCTCGGTAAGATATGATTATGTATCATGCATTCATTCATAGTCGTCTGTTGTTGAGCGTAGCTAGGTAGAGGGAAAACACTTCTCATGGATCTAAATCAAAGTATTGCCACATGGCTTAGGTCACATGATAATATGCCATGGTCCCAGCATACACAATGAGACCATTTCACTTTCCACTACCTCTGTAAGGGGCGGTTAGTCCCAGTCAAAGGTCCATAGCTTTTCACATATGAACATGAAAGCCCATTGTCCATGCATACAAATGCCACAGGTAGAGACAGCCCTATAGTATTATGCATGCTCTACATAAATTCAAAAATCATGCATTTATTATGGGGTTAGCATTTATTGCACATGTATGTCACTGTATATTCTTTTTAAAACATTTCTGCTTATCAATTCTGTAAAATGTTACATTTATTAATCAAAGTATAGCCTGATATAAACATATACCAAAAAAGAAAATAACACTACCATAAAACTATGATGATAGCTGAATAAGAAAGCACAAGCCATAACATTGATCACTCAAATGCACCTATACAATTGTTGTGAATACAACTTCCAAAAATGTTCATTTCTGATTTGTCAATAAGAGGTTTCAAATTAGAGAGAGAGAGAATGAGTGAGCTATAATTTGAAGACAGTTTATCAGTATTTCAGCCATATCACAAGCAGAATGAGTTTTACATTTATGATATACGAAAATCTGCCAACAATTCACAGTAACACAAATGGAGCAATTTAAATCAAAAACTAATATGAGCACATCAAAAAGACATGACTATTACATGACAATACAACCTAAAGACTGGGCAACAGATCACAGGCTACCAAGGCCACCATACCAGAGACCAGTACACTGGGTACCTCTCCTACCATTCATGGTACTTCAGGCTGCCGGCATATGTTGGCAATTAAATTTATTAAAATATAGAGATAAACAAATATTTTAAAATCAAAACAGTAGTCGGAAGAAAACATACATGGAATATTGTTGTCTTGCATCAATGTCTTGAATACAAGCTTGTCTGACTGTCCGAGACAGGCAGTGTTTGTCTCCAACAGTCAAAGGTCTGATGGTCTGGCCGATTTATTTTTACCCCAGGTCAGTGAGAAATACTGGATTTCACTGCATGCAGAGGTGTTCAAATACCAAATTTCCTACTTGCCCAAGGGCAAGTAAACTGAAGCATTTGCCCTGCCAAATCAGAGAAATGAAGGAAATTTAAATTTTAATACCAAAACTTTATTAACTGAAGCAACAGCTAATGGGAGATTTGCAGAATAGAAAAATGACTAGTCAAGCACTTCCTCTGCAGTTGACAAACACACGATGCATCTTCTAAGTTTCAAAGGTAATACTGCTGCTTTTCATACTTGCCCGAGGGCACCTAATCATATTTTCACACTTGCCCGGCACTTTATTTTCACGGGTCGGGCAAGTCGGGCATACCAATTGAACACCGCTGATACAAGCATGTGGAATATCATTAAAATATAATGAGTACTATTCTCATTTGTATTTAGTTTTCTTTAATGTTCAGTCAAGCAAAACAAAAAGTCTTGAATAGCAACTCTTTAATCAGATTGAATTTTTTTTAGACTTTAGAATTTATAATAAAAAAATATCTATTAACATGATTAATGAAATGTCATTGGTTTTTTAAATTATTAGCTATTGAACAAAACAATTTTTACAACTCCTTGCTGGAAAAGACGGGTTCCCTGCCCTAATGCTTCGTCTAGCTTGATATCTTGCTGTTGTGTAGCATTAGCGAACAAATGCAACAGAGGCAGGGACTAGTATACTCATTGGATAAAAATCCCAATTGGCATTCCATTGGTTAATCCTGATATTCACTTGACGTGCTATCAAGTCGAGATGCCAGTGTACATGTTTCAAAGTTCAAAGTGATTTAGCAGGGCAAGTAGAATTTTAAGTTTGGGCAAGTAAGAAATGATGTCATGATGTTTGTTAATACCAACATGGCTGCCCCACTTCTTTTGTATTTGACCTGAGGGATGTATCAACTCAGAATTTGATATTTTGGGGAAAGTATTTATTTCTCAATTATGGTTAGTCAAAAGTTTCAAATAATGGTACATAAAAAGAAAAAGTTTCTTCTAAAAATTTGTTTAGATCTTTCAAACCATTATTCATCCCCATGTAACTTTCTCTAAGCATAAACAAATAAAGCATGGCGCCTGGTGCCTCGCAACAAGTGTAGGTTACAAAATGAGGAGAATAATCAAAGTATGTGCAAATATATTTTGGGCAGAAAACATCATGTGTAATGTCAAATGTCAGGGACACAGGTTTTCCTTTCAATTACATGACAATTGCATCACAATGCTAGTGGGGCATAGAACAGTTTAATGAGATAGTACTAGTAGCTAGTGTGAAGTTTGGAACTTAATCCTGCGAGGTTCTACAATAAAATGCCCTCTAAAAATCAGTTTTAATTGCAGCAACATTTGATTGACAAGTAATTAATTTTGAATTAATGTTTCATACACTGAAAAAAACATTAGGTCATGCCCACTAATAGGCTACTGTTTTCTAATTGGCTGATAATAGAATAGGTGGTGTTTTGGTGTCACTCATTGCATACTGTTGTCTCCTGGCTGTTTTGTGTTTATGATTCAATAACCACCCTGTGAAGTTATTATTGGTGATATATTGATTTATAAGAATTGACTTGAATATGTTTCTTATGTTTTGGAGCTATGAATGCAAAAATTGATTTGCAGATTTTGAGTAAATCAGCCAGTGTGCACTGTGCACACCAGTTTGTATGCAGACCAGTTTTACATTAAAGCCTCCATAAACACAAAAACATATTCAAGTCAATTCTTGGTGAAACAGTTGAACTGCAGTCTTTGGCAACACATGACATCCTTACTCCTATCTTCCTCTTGTTGAACCTACTCATGTAACTATCTGCACACAATTATCTACCATGGTGGCCAATAAGGAATAAACGTGTAGTCTAACTGTGCTTTTGCCATATAATGAAAATGATACTGTCCACGAACACTTTGATAGTACTCAGGATTTTAATTTGACTTACAAAAGTGGGGGTCCAGGGACAAGTCCTGTCAAGTAATGAAACAGTGTAGTGAACTGCACCTTTACATAATTACCTAACAGCCTGAAATGAATCAATGATCATGTGTACAGTCGCCACGATTGATGGATGAAATAACAGACACCTATTTCTGCTCTTGATGAGCTGTAGGTACAATGCATATCATTGTGCATCCCTCAGGATGCAGTAGATTTATTTTCTGCATCCATTCTCTACATGCCCCAAAACATGTGAATTTACTTTGTTATATTTTGCAGTCTAAACTTTCACAAACTTTGATGACTGATTAATTCAGAAATACATTATATGTTACTACATTAGCATACGAGAGAAGAAATCTCTCTTCAATTCAAGGTATATCTCAATATTGTATCCGAAAATTTGGCAAATTGACACTCACAAAAAAGGTATGTTTGTTATATTTTCCTCGATTTTGTATACAATTTTGTACTCCTCATTTGTCAATAAATTGTGTTTAGTATTGCTGTTTCGTTGCTTTTTCAAACATTTCGAATACCAACTTTATGAAAAATGGCATGATTATCAGGTATAACCTACAAAGCCCAAATCCTACAAAATCTCCTAATAAATGGTGTACAATCACTGCCAATATAGGAAGCGGTTGCACATTTCAGTAAATTTAACTCTTTCTTTCTTCAATGGTCAGGAGTGGATGGTGACTAAGTCATAAAAGCATTTGCCGAAATGACAAATTAAACGCTCTACAGAAAGCAATACTAGTTTTCGATGATAAACACAAAACACTTACTCTGTGTACGCACTTCACAAGTTGTGGTTGCCGCTTATATTTCCTTCTGTGTCCAATTTCTGGTGTAAGCAATGACCACTGTCACGTGTCTCCTACGTCGTAGAAGCAGTACCCACAATATAAGGAGAGAAAGAATCTTCCAATTTTACAGTTTTAATTTCATCTTTACGTAGGCCAGTATTATCTAATGCTGCAAGATGTCGTCGTAATAACACGGTTTACACGAAGTGTTGTAGGCAGTTGCAAATAGAGGAACAAGGTTTACACAGCCCAGTTACCGTTAGCATCCACCATATTGTAAACAAACGACAAGTGCTCGTTGCCGGGCAGAGCAATCGGCTGGTTCCGTTCTCACCGTTACACACGCATCTTTCGGCTTGTCACGGAATGACACGAGTTGCTTTCGTGACCATTTCGAGGCGTTCCGGAACAAGCCGAAAGGCGACTCTTGCCGATCAACTGGGATTTCATATAAGGGGACGAACATCAATCAGTATAACTTCACAGAAAAACGATAATTCTATCTCTGTCAGCGTCCAGTAGTAAAAAATCGTGACAGTAACACTCGCTTATTGTCGTTTTACAAAGGATTATAGCTGTTTGATAGATTAAAACAATATTTATATATATATATTAGTAATAATTAAATAAGTGGAGTTAGATTGGACACAGTTTTAATTGGCTAGCCCTTTTACTCGTACCACGTACGAGTCTCATCAGGCCATAACTGAATATAACGGACATGAAGTAGAAACATATAGTTACGTGACGTCATAACAGAACTATGACGTCACAATACCAAGGCGACAATGGACAAATAACTTACGCCTTTACATTTAACTTAGGCGCGTATTTATGAATGAAATGTTGCTCTTTTTGAAACAATGTAGGTTCATGATCAAAATTTAGCTATATAGCGGGAAAACTAAAAAGTTGCCGCTTCCACATATATCTAGTAGTATAGGTAATAGGGGTTCTGGCTCACTTCCACTGGAACCGGATTTATATACCTATACTGCTACTACAGGTGGCATTTTTTATGCGTAAATGATGATGCGATTCAACGATAGTCATGAGCTGTATTAAAAGAAACATCAATATTAATTAATAATGAATAAAATTTACTATAGCCCACGAGGATATTGGAAAGGTGTAGGAGCAATAAAAGAATTAGCCACCGCGGCTAAGGTATCTAAAGATGTGGCCAAGGATTGGTTAAAGAAACAAGCGATGTGGCAAATATATTTACCGGCACCGCGTTATATACCGAGGAAGAAGTTTGATATTTTTACAACGAATGAAGTTCATCAGGCTGACCTCTTGTTTCTTCCCCACGATATGGTAAGACGCAAAACGTATCAATACGCTTTAACAGTAGTGGATGTGGCTAGTCGATACAAAGAGGCTGAGCCATTAACCTCGAAAGATTCAACAGAAGTAGCTAATCCACTGAGCCACATATATAAACGCGGACCATCAAAATGGCCTAAGCTATTTCAAGTAGATCCCGGTCGCGAGTTTATGGGATCAATAACTAAACTGTTAACAAAGCACGATGTCGAAATCAGGCGTGGTGAAAGAGAGGCCCACCGCAGTCAAGCTATCGTTGAAAGATTTAACAGGACATTAGCGGAACGTTTGTTTGGCTATCAGTATGGGATCGAAATGAAATCGGAGAGATTGAGATCAACCGAATGGGTGACACGTTTATCAGCTGTTGTATCAGCGCTGAATAATGAAGTAACAGATTAATAGGGAAGAAACCATCCGATGCGATTAAAATGAAATCCGTGACTTCCGAATCTTCAGCACCGAGGAGAGGCAAAGAACGAAAACTTCCGGATAGAGTAAGCGTAAGATATTTATACCAGGCCAGTGAACTCGAAGGAGGCCTACATAGCGCAACCGATCCCATATGGTCCCTTAAGACATATAACATTAGTCGATTGGTTATGAAAGAAGGAGAGCCTATTCTTTATTATCTTCAAGATGGACCGGGTAGGGCATTTGTACGAGAAGAGTTGTTCATAGTTCCCAACGGTACGGTATTACCACCATAACCATAAGCATAGGTAGTTACACCATCCTTATCAATCCATCTCTTTGTATCTAAGGGGGATAATGATGTCTTGTTCATTCTTAATCCATATATCCTATGATTGTAACTTCTTAAAGAGTTCATCTCCTGTTTGAACGTTCTACCGTTGAATAATGATTCTTTATACTGTTCGTGTTTGATATGCTTTTTTACAACATACTTTTTAACACCCTTGGCTTTTCTTATCTCTCCATTATCGGACTTCTTTATAGAATACATCTTAGGTCTTAATCCGACATACTCCGCTATAGGGGTCCCAGCACATTCATCCTTCATCTTACCTAACACCTTTTTATTTACAATGCTGTGCAGTGGATTATCTTTTGGGTAATCGCTCGTGTCGTACATATCTATTTTTTCTGCCATATCTTTATACACATCCTCGGTTTGTATTTCCATCAACAAAGAATCTGTGTCGGTATATAACACCTCGCATCTATCGCCGTATTGCCTCTTAAGTTCGTTGTAATAAAAGTCATACATTAAGTGTTTTGACAAGTCGAGAATACTCATACCGACGTACACCGGTCTGTTGAATTTGATATTACTTTTCTGCATATGCAACGTGGCTAAGTCGTTATCGAATATCGTGCTTCTGTTAAAAGCCGGACTGGCTATAAGTTTCCTGAGTCTTTCGTCCTCATTAGATCTGACTAATTTAACATCAACACGCTTCCTTAGATTCTCCATAGTTTTACCAAATACTGAGTTATTCATAAGCTTATATAGATTCTTTTCGAAATCGCTGGTAGCTATCTTTCTTAAATCTGTGTTCAGCCTTATATAGGGCTCCATCCAAGGGCTTTGATCAAACTTTAGAACTCTGTGTATTTTCTTAAGTTTCATACCTAACGATAGATATAACTGGAGACTTCTATAGTGAACTATATATTTTGTCTTATCCATCAAATTTGGTACGAGTTTTTCTACGTTAGCTAACCTAGTATTACCCATCAAGGAGTGTTGATATTCCGACATCCAATCCTTATCAACCATAAATCTTTCGGGAGCTAGCGGATAACTGTTATGGTCTTTATGTAAGGAATTTGGATATTCCAAGTCAACTTCTAGTATGTACCCTTTATTCACATCATTATTATGGATATCATTCTCATCGACTCACTCAAAACCACAAGGTTGACTCATAGCCCATCCGTACAAATTGTTGGCGTCGAGATATAATATATGCGTGTCGGGTTTACTCGGATCATATCCTTCCACTGTGAGTAGTTTTAGTTCTACGCCGGTCTTCTTCAACAATGCATCCCACGATAGTCCGGGACTGGAATAGTACCATGCCGGGTCCAAGCCGTATTGTTTTAAACATGTCTTTCTAAATATCTCGAATATATCGGCGAGTAACAGTACATCGGTTTTTAAGTACAGATCGTGATAATCGCCTAAATTCTTACAATCTAATTTATCCCAGACCGTCAGAGCGTGTTCATAATCGGCATCGGTTATTTTAGATTCTGTTAAGTTACTATTGAATGATTCAAAGGGTGGTAATTTAGTTTCATCGAATCTAGACCAATCATCCATATATTCGTAAGGATATACACCTTTTCTCAGCAACAAATGACGAGTTATCTTATCGGTATATTGATTTGTTATCGCAAAGTCATCGGGATTGTTCGCATTAGCTAAATTGTCCAGGGAAGATAACAAGAAACTGTACGGAGTCTATGAATCTAAGCCCATTACTTTGCTTTATTCTAGCTTTCCCATCCTTGTCCCTATAATGTATAGTTTTAGTCAACGAGAACGATATGTATTTTTCCATATTATTAGGAATGCACGTTAAACCGCCGTCGGTCTTTGAGATAGCTTGCATGATGAGATGTGAATCGTATCCCCTAAGGTTATGAAACACAACGGGGATGGGTATTGTTTGAGAATTCATTTTTAGTTTCAAGTTACACTCGTTATGAGCGGCCCCCCGATAATGATCTCTTACGGAATCCCTATTCAGGGGTTTGTTACAAACATGACAACTCGTTGACTTCTTATAGGCCCTCCAATTATCCCTCGTCATACACATGGGTTTCTTACACGATAATTTTTCCCTGATTATTCTCTCTTCATTTTGTAGATATTCTAGGAACTTTCCCGCTGCATCGGGACCTCTGTAAATCACGGGCGGGTTTGTTTTCCCATCATACCTTACAACTATATATCCAAACCCACAAGGAATATGTTCTTGAGTTTTGTACGTATTATTGCGTTCAGTAATTTCTATGGGTTTGATAAGCGCTTCGAAGTCGGCGTAAATTACGTACGGTACTGGCATTTGATTACAATAATGTTCAAATTTTAATATATTTTTTCTCTCTTTAGGCATATCGATCCTGATAGTGGTCTGTCCAACACCTCTACAGTCTTCTTTATGCGCCTCTAATAGATCTTGTCTGCTGTACCCATGTAGGCATCTTTCGCAGAAATATTTCTTTCCCTTATATTTAGTTTGATCGTATAATAGCCTGTTTAAACTCTTTATCCATGTATAATTTACCATCTTTTTCGATCAGAAATAAATTGATTCTGGGGATATGTTCCCGAGCGGAGCTTATCCTGTGTACAACAATTCCTTTAGAATGTCCGAAAACATTTATAGCTAAATTATTTTGCTTTTCCACCTTATCAATTTGTGATATTGGTGTAGGTTCGTCTATACCATCGAAGTTGAGTCCATCGTTTTGGGGATAGCTAGAAGGTCTATCCGGATTTTTGTCTACGGGGAACAATGCAGATCTTATCATCATTCTTAAACAGTCATCGGATTTATTTTTTACAGTAATTATGGCTTTTTTCTTCTTATAATACGGGGGTAAATCTATATAAGATCCACCTTTGAAGGGCATATAATTTGCTATATCTAAATATAAACTATCGATTTTATCCACACCCCAACCCGAACCTCTATTAGTCCAGCGTTCTAAAGTTTCCTGTATCCTCTGAATTGATGTATCTAATGATGCGTTTATAGTATCGGATTCGGTTATAACTTCTTGATTGCTACGGAAATATGGTTCGGTATATTCGGTGCTATCGTCTGCGCTACTTTTACTCAATAACATTTTAATCATCAGCAGGTATTTTATACTATGTAAATCATCTAACTCCTCGTTAATTTTACTTGATGGGCTTAATATTGTTAACATCCATGTTGGAATTAACATCCATCTTCCAACCTCTTAGATATTTACCAACGACGGCGGATGTGGGTACAAATATTAATTCTTGTTTATTATTATCAACATCGTCTTGTTCTTGTTGATTATTAT